GTCACTGGAGAAGGATATCCTGTTTGGTAATGTGGAGGGTCAAAGAAAAAGAGTAAAACACCCAGCGAGATGGATTGGTAAAGTGGCAGCATCAATGGGCTCAAGCATGGCAACAATTGTGAGGTTGGCCCAGGATCAGGCAGTGTTTTGTTCTGTTGTACATAGTGTACATAGTGTTGTACATGAGTTGGTATTGACTGGATGGCTCCTAACAATAACAAGTAATTTTCAAAATTCAGAGATAGTAAGTCCCCATATTATCCATCTGTGGCACTGTAGATTAAGCACTGGACTGCAAGATTGGCTTGAACCATAGGGTTGGTGGTTCAAACTCACCAGCTGTTCCTTGGAGACCCTTTATCATAGGATTGCTATGAGTCCCTTTATCATAGGATTGCTATGAGTCAGAACCCACTTGAAGGCTCTTAACATATTTGCAGCACAGATAAATGTTTTTGTTGTTGTTAGGTGCTGTCAAGTCTGTTCTGACTCATAGCAACCCTATGCACAACAGAAGGAAACAGGGCCTGGTCCTGTGTCGGCTTGTGAAAAATAACTCTTAGGGTGGTCTGCCTTCAAGAATGGGGGGATGTGTCCAGGGATAGCTTAACGATAGAAGCTTATGGGAGGGGAAGAAACTTGTTTAGCCAACTAGAAAGTTTAAAATAAGAATACAACTATCAAGGAAATAGGGGAAGCTCAAAGGGAACAGGGAGAGTAACTTTAAATAAGAAAGCTACTATCAAGGAAAAGCAGTCTTGTCTGGGGAAGATTGTTAACTCCATAGTACAAGGAAGGGGGGGGGTAGGGACTTTCTCTATATTGTTGTTGTTGTTGTTAGGTGCCATCAAGTCAGTACAGACCCATAGCGACCTTATGCACAGCAGAACAAAACATTGCCCGATTCTGGGCCAACCTCACTATCGTTTCTACACTTGAGCCCATTGATGCTGCCACTTTGTTAATACATCTCGCTGGGGGGTCTTCCTCTTTTTCTCTGACCCTCCAGATAGGAAGATAAAAATCTTTGGTGCCAAACTGAGTAGTTTGGATTTCTTGAGCGTTTGTCCATAAGCACAAATTAACTCATTGGTGTTCTCATGTAGGGTAAGGCGGTTGGCCCTAGTTCTCCCTCCAGAGACCTATGGGGTAAGGTCCTAGGCAGGGGTTTATGTAGCTTCGCCAGTTGCCAAGAGCGTCCCGAGTATCGACAAGGTTTCTCACAATTCTCACAATTGTTGTTACAGTTGTGTTCATTGTTGCTGCGAGTCAATCCATCTCGTTGGGATGATTTTCCTCTTTTTCAGAGACCCAAAGACCACTCGTGTGTCAGTTTGTAGTACTGTGGTGGCCTGTGAGTTGCTGTGATTCTAAAAGCTATGCCACCAGTATTTTAAATACCAGCCGTTTGAACTGCAAGGTCGGTGGTTCAAGCTCCCAACTGTTCCTCGGAAACCCTGTACAGGGTTGCTATGGGTTGGAACCGACTCAATGGCACTAAACAAGGGTCACCTATGGTGGACCGGTTTCAGATGAGCTTCCAGACGAAGACAGACTAGGACAACGAAGGAGTGACGAACTACTTCTGAATAGTCACTGAAAACCTTATGAATAGCAGATGTCACCTGTGGTGTGTCACCTATGGTGTCAGATATAGTGCCGGAAAATGAGCCCCTCAGGTTGGAAGGCACTCAAAATGTGACTGGGGAAGAGCTGCCTCCTCAAAGTAGGGCTGACAATGATGACGTGAATGAAGTAAAGCCCGTGGGAGAATCCCGTGGAACCTTCATTTGCTGATGGAGCACAACTCAAAAGGAAGAAAAACAGCTGTAAACATCCATTGAAAATCAGAACATGGAATGTAAGGCGGAGGTTCAGAGAAAAAGAGGAAGACCCCCAACGAGATGGATTGGCCAAGTGGCAGCATCGATGGACTCAAGCGTGGCAACAGTAGTGATGTTGGCCCAGGTTCCGGCAGTGTTTTGTTCTGCTGTGCATAAGGTCGCTATGGGTCGGTACCGACTCGATGGCACCTAACAACAACAAAAGGCAAATATCCAAGTACAAATATCCTTTGCATTTGACATCATTTTTCTGACCGGATTGGGCAGAGCTGCAGGTTAAAGATATTTATTTCCTTCTGGGGTCTGTCACAAAAATTTAACCTTGCATTTGAGAAATGCACTTTAGCCGAAAGACTGTAGAATGTTGCAAAGAGAATTATTTGAGATAACGGGGGTGGGGGGGTGGGGAGGAAGGGGGAACCCACAAAAATCTGTCAACTTTATGGAATGAAAAGGAATTGTGTTGTTAATTCCTTTTCATTAAGTCTCAGGCCCACATCTTACTCTAGTTATGCCTAAATTTTCATAACTTTTGTCCCCTGTATTATACTTGGAAGGAGCAACAAATGCCTACTATGTGTTCAATATTTTGTTGACGAAAAATGATGTTGAAACATGTGTATTTCATGTACCACACGTTCATTGAAACGTTTATCTTTTAATTCCATTTATCCACAGACTATTTAACGCGTCCTAGTATATTTTTGACAGCACTTAACAACAACAAGTATATTTTAACTCATTACTAAATTATTCATATCCACTTGGGTTTATACTATAAACGTTTCATTACGACGGAAAAAAACTGGTATTAAGAACTAGAAAGTCTCAAGATTGTTGTTAAGTGCCGTCAAGTCTATTCCGACCCATAGCGACCCTGTATAGGGTTTCCAATGAGTGACTGGTGAGCTTGAACCGGTGACCTTGCGATTCAAACGACTATTGCAGGCTGGTGCATTAACCCACAGCACCACACCAGGTTATTCAAGTGAAAAAGCTTCATTATTTCACTTGCTCCAGCTGTTGGCCCTCAGGGAGGATAGGGAGCATATTCCCCTTAGTTGTAGAAAACAATTTTCAAATAACAAGGTTTTGTTTATTTGGGGATTTCAGGAACATGTGGGGACTCTCCTAGGTTCCCCTTGCTAGAGAATCCCTAACTTCCCCAGCTAGGTTAGCTCTTTGCTGCTAGTGCACCTGGAGACAAGCCCAAGGCTTTCATTTTAAGCCCAAGGTTCCAAAACGGCTAACTTCTACTCGCGTCCGCCGGTCTGCGCATGTTCCGGGGGCCGGGTCGGGGGTCGCGAGGAACTGGCGCCAAAGAGCAGGAAGAGGCGGAGTAGTTTAAACTACGGCGGGAAAAGGCGTCGGGAAGGCTGTTAGTCCTTCCCGCCAGTAACACCTCCCCTCTGCGCCATGCCTGTGGCCGGTTCCGAACCGTCGCTGCAGCCTTCGCCCGCCGCACAGGAGCCCGCGCCGTCGCGGCCCCACAGCGAGCTGCAGTACCTGGGCCAGATCGAGCACATCCTCCGCTGCGGCGTCAGGAAGGAGGACCGCACGGGCACCGGCACCCTGTCTGTGTTTGGCATGCAGGCGCGCTACAACCTGAGAGGTGACTGCGCCCTTGCGCGCCGCGGCGGGGAGGGCTCGGGAGGGGAGCCTTCGCGTTAGGCACCGGACTGCAGCACAGCAGACGCGGGCCCCGTGATGAACTTTTAGTACTGGTAATAACTCTATAATGTCAGCAAGCATCCTTAACCCCATTTTAGAGATTCCGAAACTGAGGCTCAGCTTTGATGCATGATTTGCGTTGGGTCACTCAGATGGGCGTGACAGCTGGGAGGGAAAACCAGGTCTTCCAAGGCCTGCGCTTTGAATCACCTCATTATGCTGTCTCCCTGAGAGATGTTTGGTTAATGATCGCCCCCATCCATTCTAGCAGCTGGAAAGACCTGCCCAGGCTTGTCCGTGGAGCTAACTCCTCCTCCCTGCCTTCTGTTTGCCGCCGGGACTACAAGTTCTTTGTGGGCGGGGCGACGGCAGGGGTCGGGGGCGCGCTTGTGTAGTTAATGGGCTTTCTAGTTCCTGACAGTTTCCTGTCCAGTTTCCACAAACCAGTTTTCCTGAAACGAATGTCTTTAGAGTTCAAAAAGAGTTTTTATTCATCCTTAGAAGAGGTGTTTCTAGGTTGTTATTAGTGTCCTGCTTAAAAAGCTTACCACACTTGGGGTCAGGCTTTCCATGGACAAAAGGGGCGGGCAGGGAGGCGCTCAGGACAGTGGGTAAGAGAGAGCACCCATTTCGTTTAAAAACTATCTACTCAGATATTTTAAGAAAGGGTGTAACTTCGGATTTCTATAATGTAACCAGATCTACGTAGGGTTTTCACAGCCTTTCGGAAGCGGATCCTTAAGCATTTAGGGTAGATATGAACCGCCAACCTTTAGATAATAGAGCTTAACGGTTTGCGCCACCCAAGGACTCCTATACCCATTCTCCCAAGCCCACTGCCAGGGAATCAGTTCTAAGTCATAGCGACCCTGTACAGAGTTTGCTTTACGGAAGTAGACAGCCTCATCTTTCTTCCGAAGAACAGCTGTGGGTTTGAAGGCCACTCCTATCTTTCAGTTAATAGCCCAAGGGCTAACCCACAGTGCCCCCGGGGTTGCTTACACCTACTCTGTTGTTAAGTGCGCTCAAGTCGGTTCTGACTCATGGCGACCCTGTATAGGGTTTCCGAGGAGTGGCTGGTGGACCTTGCCGTTAGCAGTCCAATGCTTATCTTACAAGTGCCACACCAGGACACCCATTCTGTTGTTAAGTGCTGTCCAGTCCATTCGGACTCAGCGACTCTGTCTGTATAAGGTTTCTGAGGAGCAACTGGTGGGTTTGAACTGCTGATCTTGTGGTTAGCAATCCAGTACTTATCCTACAATGCCCATATCAGGACTCTAACAACACCCATTCTAGAAATACGGCTGCTGGGCCTGGGACAGACTGGGGAGTTCTGCCCTAGGGGAGAGATTCACCTTCCTGCACACCTCCAAATGAGGTGGCCTCCAGAGAGCCACAGACCTGCTTTTTAACCCAGCTCCTCTGTTTAGACTGCAAGTTCAGTGGGCAGGTTACTGAACCGCACTGGTCTTCAGCTTTATCGGATGTTCCAAGTGAAAGAAACAATGCTCAATACAGCAATATTGGTTAAAGTAGGTGCCCTGTGTTTCAGGAATATCAGCTGATAATGTGGGTTGAGTCTGTGCTGCATATAGAGATGAATTTTTACATTTTACTTTCTTTTATCATTTGATGCCTCCCTTCTCACACTGCCATCTGTGGCAAACTTCCTGATTGCCTGTAAAATGCTGATTGTAATAGTACCTCCTGGTAGTTTATAGGATTAAATAGGATCATGCTTAGAAAGTGTGTAACTATTTTTAGTACATATAAACAGATTACTTTGCCTTTGAGTCCCTGAGTGGAGCAAAAGATTAAGTATTTAGCTACTAACTGAATGTGAAAGTTTGAAACAAAGACCTTCTGAAGGATCTGTAATTGAAAAATACAGCTTCGGTAATAATGCTAGATAACATATGATAGAATTTTGTGATACCAATGACTTATTTGTTGTAAATACCTTTTTTCAACAATATAAAAGGCGTCTATACATGTAAACCTCACCAGGTGGAATCAAATTAATTAATCTTTGGGAAGAGACCATGGAGAAGCTTGGTATCATTAGCCAAAACAAAGTCAGGGGCAGATTGTAGAACAGACCATCAATTGCTCAGATGCAAATTCAGGCTGAAGCTGAAGAAAATTAAAACAAGTCCATGAGAGCCAAAATAACGACCTTGAGTATTTGTTAAGTGCCTTTGAGTCAGTTCTGATTCATAGCTACCTTATAGGGTTTACGAGGAACAGCTGGTGAATTTGAACTGAGTAGTTTGAAATCAAGAAAGGTGCCCACCAGGGTTATATCTTCACCATATTTATTCAGTCTGTATGCTGAGTAAGTAATCTGTAAAGATGGATTAAATGAAGAAGAACGTGACATCAGGATTGGAGGAAACTCATTAATAACTTGAAATACACAGATGACACAGGGTTGCTTGCTGGAAGCCAAGAGGACTTAAGTATTTGCTGGTGAAGGTGTACGGGTTACACCTCAATGTAAAGAAAATTAAAATCCGCACAACTGAACCTATACTAAACATCATGATAAACAGAGAAAAGATACTGATGTTGTCAGAGACTTCATTTTGTTTGGATTCATAATCAACACTCATGGAAGCAGAAGTCAAGAAATCAAAACTACATATTGCATTAGGTAAATATGCTGCAAAACACCGCTTAAAGAGTTGAAGAGCAAAGATGTCAGTTGGAACATTGCTTTAGTATACCAAGGTGTAGTGTACCTTGATAAATCTTGGTGAAGGACTTTATTAACAACCTGCAATATGCACATGATACAACCTTGCTTGCTGAAAGCAAAGAGGATTTAAAATACTGATGAGTATCAGAGACCACAGCCTTCAGTATGGGTTGAATCTCAATGTAAAGAAAACAAAAATTCTCACCATTATACCAGTAAACAAGATGTCAAAAGACTTCATTTTGCTTGGATCAACCATCAACACGCATGAAAGCAGCAGTCAAGAAATCAAATGATGTATTGCTATTGGGCAAATCTGCACAAAACCTCTTTAAAGTGTTGAACAAAGATGTTAACTTGAGGACTAAGGTGTACCTGACCCAAGCCGTGGTATTTTCGATAACCTCATATTCATGTCAAAGTTGGATAGTGAATAAGAAAGTCCATAGAAAAATTGATGCATTTGAGTTATGGTGTTAGAGGAGAATATTGAAAGTACCATGGACTGCCAAAAGAATAAATAGATCTGTGTGGAAAGAAGTACAGCCAGAGTGTTCCTTGGAAACTATAGGTCTCACATACTTTGGACCTATTAGGAGGGACCAATCACTGGAGAAGAATGTCATGTTTGGTAAAGTGGAGAGTGGGAGAAGAAAAGGAAGACCCCCAGCAAGATGGTTTGGCAAAGTAGCAGCAGTAATGGGCTCAGGTGTAGCAACAATTGTAAGTTTGGCACAGGACCAGGCAGTGTTTTGTTCTGTTGTGCATTGGGTTGCTTGAGTTGGTGCCGTCTTGATGGTACCTAACAACAACAAAGTAGAGGGTCAATTAAAAAAAGAGGTAGATCTCCCCCAAGGAGATGGATTGACTGTGACAGCAACAGTGACAACCAACATAACAATTGTGAGGATGATGCAAAACCAGTGTTTCATTTTGTTGTGCATAGTGTTTTTAGGAGTTGGAACCCACTCAGTGGCACCTAACCAACAGCTAACTTAAAAATGGTCGACGTGAGTTTACTGAGAAGCACCCTGACAGAAAGGCCTGGTAATGTACATCCAACAATCCCAGGAATTGTCGAGTCTGTGGAGCCCAGTTCTAGTCTGACACACATGAGGATACCCTGAGGTGTAGAACTGATTGATGACAACAGGTTTAACATGCTTTGTTGTTAAGTGGCATCAAGTCGGTTTTGACCCATAGTCACTCTATTTAGGATTTTCAAGGAGTGAATGGTGAACTTGAACCACCAACCTTGTGGTCCAAACAGATTTTGCAGTCTAGTGCATTAACCCACAGCACCACAAATACTTCAAAGTTATTCTTCATTTTTCTACTGTACTGCAATGCTGGTTTGAACCACAAGACCAGTGGTTCAAGCTAACCAGCTCCTGCTTGGAAACTCTATACAGGGTCACTATGAGTCAGAACTGACTCAGTGGCTCTTAATAACAAATATCCTAGTTCTGAGAAAGTTTTCTCTTGCAGAATAAATACGGAATTGGTGTTGAGAGCCATCAGCATTGTCTTGGAGCACATTTTGAGTTATCTTTATGCCTCTTCCACAGGGTCCAATGCTAACTAGGTAGTCAGGAATCTTATCCTTTTCCCATAGGACAACAGTTCAAACCCACCAGCAGCTCCTTAGAAATCTCATACAGGGTCGCTATGAGTTTGAACTGACATATGGTGGCACTTAACAACAACATTCCTGCTCTAGCCTCCCCCTCCTCCCTCACACACACACACATTTTGTAGGATTCCTGTGGGCATCCCAGGAGCTATCTAGGTCTGAGTTATGCCCCTAACTTGCTCCTGCTCAGGAGCCCAACCCATTCAGGTGGCTCTGTGGGCACTCCAGATCTTACCTCTAGGGGCAGTTTTCTTCCACTGAGAAAGCTGGAGGGTGTGTCCTGTTTCTCATCTCCACCCTATATGACAAATTGTTTTTCAGATGAGTTTCCTCTGCTGACAACCAAGCGTGTGTTCTGGAAAGGTGTTTTGGAAGAGTTGCTGTGGTTTATCAAGGTAAGAACGTCTTTCTGTTGGAAGTCGGTTCTCAGCACAACTGCCATCTAGATCCTTTTACAAATCAAATCATGTCATTCCTCAGCCTGTGTGGTTTCATCAGCGGCTCCTATTTCACTAGTAAGAGCCAACGTCCTTGTAAGGGCTTCTTAGGACCCAGTTACACACCTTGGGCTGCTGCTGCTCTTCTGTTTACTCAATTGCCCCTACTGGCTGCTTGCTAATCTTTGAGCACGCTTTGTGACTCTCACCATTAAGTCTCTCTCTGCACAGTGACCTTGCTCAGACCTCTCAACCTAAGACTGAATTTTTGCCCTAGCACCGTCTTCTGTTGCATTTTTTCTACAACCTGTCACATCATCTGATGTATATGTAACGTGTGCCTTCTTCCTTTTAGTGGGGAAGGCAGACAATAAAGAGGTAAAATTATTGCAAACTCCATGAGAGCAGAAATCTTTTTCTCTTGATCATTGCTGTATCACCAGGGCCTAGACCACTGATTATAGATGCCAACCATGTTCTCATGTTCATATATACTAGAAGGGCTTCAGTAACAAGCCATATCTCTTCCAAAGAATCAAATAGGTACCTTTGGCAAGGGCGGGAATTCTGTGATAGTGAGTAGTAGCCCAGCCCCGCTTGCATCCTGATTCAGAACCAGAAATACTGTGGCCCATGCTGGTAGGAGGGGACATAAAAGACAGCTCAGTTCTGGCCATGCAGGAAGCTGAGGTTCCCTCCTTGCAGTGCAGCAAGTTTCTGTTTATGTGTGGCCTTTTTGGCCCTGGGTGTGTAATTGTGATTTACTAGGCCACGATCTTGCAAAGAGTTTGGACACTTTACTATGGAAATAAAGTATGTAAAACCCATGCAGTCATTGAACAAATTACTATGCAAAGAGTACGTGTAAAATATCTCTGGGGGATTAACTGGTTGCTATGCAAATCTGCTGCACAGCAACTTTTTAAAGTGTTGAAGAGCCAAGATGTCAGCTTGAGGACTAAGGTGCGCCTGACCCAAGCCATGGTATTTTCAATAACCTCATACGGATGCGAAAGCTAGACAGTGAATAAGGAAGACCGTAGAAGAATTGATACCTTTGAATTATGGTGTTGGAGGAGAATCCTAAAAGTGCCATGGACTGCCAAAAGAACCAATAGATCTGTTTTAGAAGAAGTGCAGCCAGAGTGCTCCTTGGAGGCCAAGGTGGCCAAACTCCATCTCTCATATTTTGGACATATTGTTAGGAGGACCAGTCGCTGGAGAAGGATATCATGTTTGGTAAGGTGGAGGGTCAGAGAAAAAGAGGAAGACCCCCAACGAGATGGATGGGCCAGGTGGCAGCATCGATGGACTCAAGTGTGGCAACAGTAGTGAGGTTGGCCCAGAATCAGACATTGTTTCGTTCTGCTGTGCATAAGGTAGCTATGAATCGGTGCTGACTCAATGGCACCTAACAACAACAACAACAACATGCAAATGAGGTGACTGGCCTACTGAAGGGATTGGCCAGTTTGATCAAGATAGGAGGAGTAGGCTTATTAAAGGACTAATCCCACAGAGGTCAATGTGAACTCACTACCACCAAAAGAGCTGGGTGTGGAGTATGTTCTTTGGACCTGGGTGCGCTGTACTGAAAACCATGTAGCCTCAGGGAAAGAGAGAGCTGTAATGTTGAAGTTGACACAAGAAGGTGAGAGACAGTGTGACATTAGCACAAGCAGCAGCAGAAACCGGGAGACTGGCACAGAAGCTGCAGTGGGCTTCTCAGCCCACAGAACAACATTGCTGAGCTTTTTCTGGCAGAAGTCTTGGAGACTTGCTGCCAGAATGGGTTGCCTGGAGTTGAAGAGCTATTACACTTGCCGGAGATCAGCCAGCCTGGCCAAGAAGTGTTGCCTACCTACGGGCAGCACTGAGAAGCATAGCCTGCCAGTGGGCATGGCTGAGAAGGTGCTGAGAACTGTCTTGGATGGAAAGCTGTCCTGAGTGATGAACTGATCCTGCCCTACATTTGTTACTGTTAATCCAAGTTGAATCTGATCCTGAATTACAGCCTGTTAACTTCTGTAATAAACCATATAATTGTGAGTATTGTCTGTGAGTTCTTTGTGGCCATTGCAGAAAAATAGATTGCCATGGGAGGCAAAGATTATTGTCAGAATTGATAAGTTTTCCTAGTAGATCAATGTCTCACCTGTGCTTCATAGAACCAGTTTTGGGCTGATAAGCTGATGGTGATTCTCCTTCCTCCCACCTTATGAAGTTAACGGACTTCTCACTTCTGACATTTCACTCCTACAGAGTTCTAGGCGTTGCTCACATGGCCTTGGACCAAACCAGAACTGACACCGCATATCCCATTTTAGAAAGGGTTTAGATTTGGTCTACTCCAGCCTTCCATGTTTCAGGGAGGAGGGACAGGGCTTAGTTTGTCCTATGTTGGCTGATCTCTACTGGCAGCGAGCCGCTACTTCTAAATGCATCATTGGAAGTCTAAGGCAAGCACATTCTTAAATGAGAATTCCATCTGAGTGTCTGGGAAGGGTAAGCTTTGATAGCAGTGTATGAAAGAGTGAAAAGTGATTTGAAGGAGGCAAAAAAAAAAAAAAAATGGGACAGGCTTAGCAGTAGAAAGGGAAGAAAGCTAGATGCTCAGAAGTACAGTGCATTCACCTGTTTTAACATAAAGCTTGAATTCAGGATTCTGAAATCTTAGCAGGAGGAGAGGGACATCTTGTAAATTCACCTCTGGTAGAGCTATTCCCACTGGTGGCTGAATACAATGCAGGAATCCAAATGTAACTGCTTTTCTGGGAGGGAGCTGCAGACAAGATGAAGAAACAAAGGCTATGTAGGACTATCTAGTGTAAACTGGTCAAGGGAGTATTTCTAAGACTAGCTAATTACTGAGCTGTTAGCTTGGACCTCTGGTGGGCCACTGTAAGAGCAGCACTGGCCTGCAAACCACAAGGTTTGGTTAACATGTAACTAACTCAACTGTAATGTGATGGCTGGACTTCTGGTGTGGCCCTGTGGGTCAGCACTGGACTGCAAATCACATGGTTGGCTGTTCAAACCCACCAGCCACTCCTTGGAAATCCTATACAGGATTGCTATGAGTTGGAATGGATTTGATGGCACTTAACTACAATAACTACAATAACTACGTATTGCACTGGGCAAATCTGCTGCACAGGAACTTTTTAAAGTGTTGAAGAGCAGAGATGTCAGCTTGAGGACTAGGGTGCGCCTGACCCAGGCCATTGTGTTTTCAATAGCCTCATATGGATACGAAAGCTGGACAGTGAATAAGGAGGATCGTAGAAGAATTGATGCCTTTGAGTTGTGGTGTCGGAGGAGAATACTGAAAGTGCCATGGACTGCCAAAAGAACCAATGGATCTGTTTTGGAAGAAGTGCAGCCAGAGTGCTCCTTGGAGGCCAGGATGGCTAAGCTTCGTCTCTCCTACTTTGGACATATTGTCCGGAGGAAACAATCGTTGGAGAAGGATGTCATGCTGGGTAGGGTGGAGGGTCAGAGAAGAAGAGGAAGACCCCCAACAAGATGGATCAGCCAGGTGGCATCATTGATGGATTCAGGTGTGGCGGCGGTAGTGAGGTTGGCCCAGGATCGAACATTGTTTCGTTCTGCTGTGCATGGGGTTGCTATGAGTCAGTTCCGACTCGATGGCACCTGACAACAACAACAACTACAATAAGCATTTTGCTGATATTTTCTAATCAGAATAATCATATGTGGTAAATACTACTAAAGTTCTCTTTATAGATGAAGATAGTGAGGCTACAGGGATAGGGAGCTATCAGGAGAAGGCAGGTAGAAAGGCCTGGCACAGCCCAGGTGTACACGGCACCACAGCCTAGCTAGTGACCTTTATAGCACATTATGCCCAAGTCTATCCATGACCGGGCTGATGGTGAGAGGATGCACGATCAGGAACAGTTTGGGATGTAATGGGCCAAGTCTAAAGGGATGAAATAGAGAAATAAATACAAGGCTTTATACTTGGCAAAAAGCACCATTAAGTATGTAAGTGTAGGTTGGAGGTAAGATTAATTTTATAGTGGCATATATAAGAAAGGAGCTCTGGTAGCGTAGTGGTTACAAATCGGGCTGCTAACCTCATACATAGTCAGCAGTTTGGAACTACCAGCTATTCTGTGGGAGAAAGATGAGGCTTTCTCCTCCTGTAAAGATTTACAGCCTCAGTAAACCCTGTATAGGATTGCTATGAGTCGGAACCAACTCCACGGTACCAAACAACAACAAACAATATAAAAATGCATTAGGGTCCACATTTACTTCCATGTGACTGATAATATTTGCCAGAAGAATTACTATTGAGTATTCTGATGACTAAAAGCTTGCTATATACTAGGTATAAGATACACTGAACAAACTGCTCTTGAAGCATTAAATTCCTCTTGTGTTGTGAAGTGCCGTTGAGTTGGTTCTGACCCATAGTGACCCTGTATAGGGTTTCCGAGGAGCAGCTGGTGAGCTTGAACTGCCGACCTTGTAGTTCAAACAACTTTGCAGTCTGGAGTATTAACCCACAGTGTCAATCCAGGACTCCAAATTCCTCTTAGAGTATCATTTTTAGAAATAGAGCACATTTAGTTAAGAAACAGAACTGTCAGCTGAGGTGGGAATGATGAAAAGATATGGAGGTGTTTGGTGTAGAAAACACCTAGTTGAGGGGAATAGAATAAAGGAAAATAGAAAAAGGGTGGTTCCAAAGCAGAGGTCACACTGTACCATTGGTCTTTGAGTATGGGCTAAAACCAGCCTGCTTAAAGAAGAGGTGCCACCTTCCTCATTCAGTGTTTTGAGCACATGATAGTGCCCACTGGAAAGGCTGTGTGTGTGTGTGGGGGGTGACTCTTGGAATCACCAGCACAGTTGACCCAGAACTCACTTAACTTGCCTGCTGCCCTCCATCTCCCATCTCTTCCAGGGATCCACCAATGCGAAAGAACTGTCTGCCAAGGGAGTAAAGATCTGGGATGCCAATGGGTCTCGAGACTTTTTGGACAGCCTGGGATTCACCACCCGAGAAGAAGGAGATTTGGGCCCAGTTTATGGCTTTCAGTGGAGGCATTTTGGGGCAGAATATAAAGAGATGCATTCAGGTGAGGAAAGAGACACACCTCAGATTGCCCTGAGAACCCTTACAGCATGTGTTTGCTTAGTTGATTGAAAGAAGCGTGAGGGATAATAATAACTTGGTGTGTGGAGAGCTGACTGACATGTAACTCGGACCTTGTGAAGGATGTCCAGGAACCGCAACTAAGCCCTGTGAAGTCAGACCACACTCGCTGACTGCCATTTATTGAGAGTGCTTACTGGGCACATGACACTTCAGCTCTCTTCTCTCATTGTCAGAGTGCTGTGGTTGGTAGCCAGGTGCAGGATGAGGAGGAAGGAATCTCAGGATTGCCTGTGGCTGCTCTGTTCTGTTTTCACACTGACCCAGCCAGCACACATAGGTGGTACTGAGGTGGGGGCACTGCTCCCTGACTGCCACCTTCCTGCTCTGCTGGGGTAGAAGGAAAAAGGAAACCTGTCACTCCTGACAGCCTCCTTCCCCTGGCACTGTTGGTGGCATCACTTGCTGAGTGTCACAGAGCCCTGCCCTGGTCTTCTCCTTAGGAGAAAGCAGGTGCCTGCCTTAGTGTATTGGGGAGAGGGAGACAAGACGCAATCATACTGGCTGGGTGGTAAATTATGAGTCCCAGCTAAAGGGGACAATAATAGCTCACTTCCAACCAGCTCAAATTTGAGCAGTTAGAATACTTTCTTTAATAAAAGCCATTTTATATACAATCATAAGATTTTTTTTTTAATGTTGGTAACTCTTCAGGCAGCTTAAAAATGGTGTAGGCCAAACCATTTCTTCGGGTAAATGGCCTGTAGGTTGGTTGCTCATGTACAGCCCCTCTGTCCTAGGACATCTTGAGGATTCGAGGCCACTCCACTGGCTTGTTGGTGCCCTAAACCCTGTTAGTGTTCAATAAGCATTGTTGTTTAAGGGACCATATTAAAATTATGTTCTTTAGGACTGTATGAATGCAAAGCTATTGGATCTCAATAAGGAAGTTGTTTTGTAAGTTTTTTTTTTTTTTAATTTTTCTTTTGAAATAATGATGCATTCATGAGAAGTTGCCAGGAAAGTTTGTACAGAGAGGTCCCCTGTACCCGGCACAAACTGACAGTGGTGCAATCCCGAGCGCATACCAGCTTCGTCAGTGTTACATACGGCCTGTTAGCACAGTGTCAGTTTGTGTGACCACCACAAGATACAGAAGGATTCTGTCGTAGCTCATCTTTTTTTGTTATTGTAATCTTTGATAATTACCTTTTTTGACATTTCCTCCAAAAAGGTTAAGAACTACTGGACTAAGACGGCCTGACACAGATGAGTGGAAGTTTAACCAGATGTACTTCCCTTAGCAAAGTCATTTCTCAGCTTTAAGATCCATTTCAGAAGGAAGGCAAAGGATCAGAAATGAGGAAAAAAGTATAAGATGGTACAATCTGTACCGAGATTTCCTGATAATTACAAGTCAAGAGTGTTTAGCTGCTAAATTGACATTTTAGCCTGAAATGTTGGAAAGATAGTATCTAGGTTACAAGAAGGAACCCCAGCACTCTGCTTGTTGGAGTGTATAGAATGAAAATGATACATTCTGTTTTAGAGCCAATAGTTGCTGTGGGACATGGGTGTATAGTAGATTGTGTCAGTGAAGTATGACAAGTATTCCTGTGGGGAATACTGAAAAAAAAAACAAACTAGGATTGTTTAGATTGGAGAAAGTCAGGAATATGGAGATGAGAATTTTGGAAGAAGTAACACTCTTAACAGACCAGATATTTAAGGAGTTGTGTAGAGAAGAAAATCCATTTTGTTATGGCATTAGAGGACAAACTGTCCTGCTTAGGCAGGGACTTGAACTCAACATCACCTGTAAATGAGAAATGGTCATGGGACTATAATAAACCACCTCTGGAGCCCATCGCATGAGATGCTGTGATTAATGTGTGTGTACATGTTCTCTCTGACAACTCTACAGATTATTCAGGTCAAGGAGTGGACCAGCTGCAAAAGGTTATTGACACAATCAAAACCAACCCTGACGACAGAAGAATCATAATGTGTGCTTGGAACCCAAAAGGTAAAAGCAGCACAGTCATCTTCTTTTGTACTAAGCTTGCTGTTAGAGGAAAGAAGCAGTACTGTACTGTGCTAAGGCGCCCGGCAGCGGCAGAACCTCATGGCACTTGACCTTGGGCAAGTCACACTTGGCCCATTTTCATCTTCAGATGGCTGAGCTGGATCCAGATCATATTAATTTGTATATTTATACTAATTCCTACTCCTAAAGGGATTTTAATTGCCTGTAAGAACACACATAACATTTTTAACATTTGAAATTATGGCAGATGACACGTTAGATCACTTCTACCTCACAGTTACACTTGTTTTTGATAATACTTTATTGAGTGAAAATTTACACAGTAAATTCAGTTCCCATTTGACAATTTGTTAACACGTTCAGTGACATTAAATTTTTCACAGTGTGTCAACATTCTCTTTAATTGCATTTTGATTGTTCCACTTCCAGTACTCTTTCTCTACCCCCTTATCATCTTTGCTGTAGCATTATTGTTTACCTTTTGGTCTCATATAGATGGTTTTTAATGGGATGTTGAATTTTTACCAAGGCATAATTAATACCAGTATGGAACATTTACGTCTATAATACAGACTTTGAATATAAGAGAACATGCCTGAGATGCCACATGAATTAATGCCTCCTAGTGGCATAGCGGATTACATATTGGGCTGCTAACTGCAAGGTCAGAGGTTTGAATCAACCAACCACTCCATAGGAGTAAGTTGAGGCTTTCTGCTCCCATAAAAATGTACAGCCTCAGAAACCCTATACAGTGTTACTATGAGTCAGAACTGACTCACCAGCACACCACCACCACAGTTTTAGTTTGGAAGCGCAGTGACTACGTACGATAAGCACTGAACTGCGAACCACAAGGTTAGCAGTTCAAGCTGATCATCAGCTCCACTGGAGAAGGATGAGGCTTTCTGCTCCTGCAGTCCTTGGAAGACCTTTACAGGGTTACTATGAGTCAGAACCAAACAGTAACAGCATATTTGTAGTTTGGGGCCATGAAGGTGGTACAGATAATTTCTATTTGGAACTATTTTTTTTATATGCAGTTGAATTGATTCCTACTCATAGCCACTAATAATCACCCAAAAGTTCTCAGTTTCTAGACAGGTTTCCATCAGCTGTGTGCCACCCCTGGGGTCCATGTTGTCTGCTTTTGACGTGAGGGAAAGGTGTGGTTCAGAGGTTGCTTCAGCTCAATGGCTCCTTCATTGTCTCCACCAGGAGTTGGCTGGTCTCACTGCTTGGTTTTGCCTATGTTTGTGATGCCCTTTATAACTCCCACTTCTCCTTGTTTTCATTTGTGCTGGTTCTGAAGACCTTCCACAGATGGCGCTGCCTCCCTGCCATGCCCTTTGCCAGTTCTATGTGGTAAATGGTGAGCTGTCCTGTTAGCTGTACCAGAGGTCAGGAGACATGGGCCTGGGGGTGCCTTTCAACATTGCCAGCTACGCCCTGCTCACCTACATGATCGCCCATATCACAGGACTGAAGGTGGGCTGCTCTGGGGGCTAAAACAAAAACTGTTACAAATGGTGGAAAAACTAATTGCAGAGAATTAATTCCAAAAGTTGATACAGTCAATCCTCATTAGTCACCAAGTCAGTATTTGCCAGTTTGTGTATTTGTTGGATTTTATTTGTAACTCCACAGTTAATACTCACTTTTTCAGTCAATTGTGGGCATATGCAGAGCAACGAGAAAGTAGAGTCACCCAGTGCCCATGTTTTCAGCTGATCTCAAGATGATGATCTGCCTTCTTGCTTTAGCTCTCACGCTGTAAGCAAGTACCCTTTTTTTTTGGGTCTCTGTTGTTAGGTGTCATCAGGTTGATTCCTGTGCAATGATACTATGCAAAACAGAACCAAACACTAACTAGTCCTATATCGTTTTCACATTTGTTAACATTTTAGCCCATTGTTGCTGCCACTGTGTCAGCCCATCTCCTTGGGTGTTGTCCTCTTTTTTTGAATGACCCTCCAGTTTATCAAACATAATCTTCTCCAGGGACAAAGGAGATTGTCCCTCCTGACAACAGGTCCAAAATACAAAGTTCTACTACTAAAGAACATTCTGGCTATACTTCCAAGACAGATTTCTTTGTTTTTATGGTAGTCCGTGGCACTTAAATATTCTTTGCCAGTACTGTAATTCAAATGCATTGATTCTTCTGTGGTCTTCCTTATTCATTGTCCAATTTACATATGCATATGAAGCG